TGGATGATGTTGATGGATTTTCGAATGTTGTACCATCCTTGCATCCCTGGGATGAACCCCACTTGGTCATGGTGTATGATCCTTTTGATATACTGTTGAATTCTGTTTGCTAATATTTTATTGAGTATTTTTGCATCTACATTCATCAGGGATATTGGTCTGTAATTTTCTTTTTTGGTGGGGTCTTTGCCTGGTTTTGGTATTAGGGTGATGTTGGCTTCATAGAATGAGTTTGGGAGTATTCCCTCTTCTTCTATTTTGTGGAACACTTTAAGGAGAATGGGTATTATGTCTTCTCTGTGTGTCTGATAAAATTCCGAGGTAAATCCGTCCGGCCCCGGGGTTTTGTTCTTGGGTAGTTTTTTGATTACTGTTTCAATTTCTTTGCTTGTAATTGGTTTGTTTAACTTTTGTGTTTCTTCCTTGGTCAGTCTTGGGAGGTTGTATTTTTCTAGGAAGTTGTCCATTTCTTCTAGGTTTTCCAGCTTGTTGGCATATAGGTTTTCATAGTAGTCTTTAATAATTCTTTGTATTTCTGTGGAGTCTGTCGTGATTTTTCCATTCTCATTTCTGATTATGTTGATTTGTGTTGACTCTCTTTTTCTCTTAATAAGTTGGGCTAGAGGCTTATCTATTTTGTTTATTTTCTCAAAGAACCAGCTCTTGGTTTCGTTGATTTTTGCTATTGTTTTATTCTTCTCAATTTTGTTTATTTCTTCTCTGATCTTTATTATGTCCCTCCTTCTGCTGACTTTAGGCCTCATTTGTTCTTCTTTTTCCAGTTTTAATAATTGTGATGTTAGACTATTCATTTGGGATTGTTCTTCCTTCTTCAAGTGTGCCTGGATTGCTATATACTTTCCTCTTAAGACTGCTTTCGCTGCATCCCACAGAAGTTGGGGCTTAGTGTTGTTGTTGTCATTTGTTTCTATATATTCCTTGATCTCTATTTTGATTTGTTCATTGATCCATTGATTATTTAGTAGCATGTTGTTAAGCCTCCATGTGTTTGTGAGCCTTTTTGTTTTCTTTGTAGAATTTATTTCTACTTTCATACCTTTGTGGTCTGAAAAATTGGTTGGTAGAATTTCAATATTGTGGAATTTACTGAGGCTCTTTTTGTGAGCTAGTATGTGGTCTATTCTGGAGAATGTTCCATGTGCACTTGAGAAGAATGTATATCCTGTTGCTTTTGGATGTAAAGTTCTATAGATGTCTATTAGGTCCATCTGTTCTAGTGTGTTGTTCAGTGCCTGTGTGTCTTTACTTATTTTCTGCCCGGTGGATCTATCCTTTGGGGTGAGTGGTGTGTTGAAGTCTCCTACAATGAATGCATTGCAGTCTATTTCCCTCTTTAGTTCTGTTAGTATTTGCTTCACATATGCTGGTGCTCCTGTATTGGGTGCATATATATTTAGAATGGTTATATCCTCTTGTTGGACTAAGCCCTTTATCATTATGTAGTGGCCTTCTTTATCTCTTGTTACTTTCTTTGTTTTGAAGTCTATTTTGTCTGATATTAGTACTGCAACCCCTGCTTTCTTCTCACTGTTGTTTGCCTGAAATATGTTTTTCCATCCCTTGACTTTTAGTCTATGCTTATCTTTGGGTTTAAGGTGAGTTTCTTGTAAGCAGCATATAGATGGGTCTTGCTTTTTTATCCATTCTATTACTCTATGTCTTTTGATTGGTGCATTAAGTCCATTTACATTTAGGGTGACTATTGAAAGATATGTACTTATTGCCATTGCAGGCTTTAGATTCGTGGTTACCAAAGGTTCAAGGTTAGCTTCTTTAGTATCTTACTGCCTAACTTAGCTCGCTTATTGAGCTGTTATATACACTGTCTGGAGAGTCTTTTCTTCTCTCCCTTCTTATTCCTCCTCCTCCATTCTTCATATGTTGTGTGTTTTGTTCTGTGCTCTTTTTAGGGGTGCTCCCATCTAGAGCAGTCCCTGTAGGATGCCCTGTAGAGGTGGTTTGTGGGAAGCAAATTCCCTCAGCTTTTGCTTGTCTGGGAATTGTTTGATCCCACCATCATATTTAAATGATAGTCGTGCTGGATACAGTATCCTTGGTTCAAGGCCCTTCTGTTTCATTGCATTAAGTATATCATGCCATTCTCTTCTGGCCTGTAGGGTTTCTGTTGAGAAGTCTGATGTTAGCCTGATTGGTTTTCCTTTATAGGTGACCTTTTTCTCTCTAGCTGCCTTTAAAACTCTTTCCTTGTCCTTGATCCTTGCCATTTTAATTATTATGTGTCTTGGTGTTGTCCTCCTTGGATCCTTTCTGTTGGGGGTTCTGTATAATTCCATGGTCTGTTCGATTATTTCCTCCCCCAGTTTGGGGAAGTTTTCAGCAATTATTTCTTCAAAGACACTTTCTATCCCTTTTCCTCTTTCTTCCTCTTCTGGTATCCCTATAATACGAATGTTTTTCCTTTTGTATTGGTCACATATTTCTCTTAGTGTTGTTTCATTCCTGGAGATCCTTTTATCTCTCTCTATGTCAGCTTCTATACGTTCCTGTTCTCTGGCTTCTATTCCTTCAATGGCCTCTTGCATCTTATCCATTCTGCTTATAAATCCTTCCAGGGATTGTTTCACTTCTGTGATCTCTTTCCTGACATCTGTGATCTCCTTCCGGACTTCATCCCACTGCTCTTGCATTTTTCTCTGCATCTCATCCCACTGCTCTTGCATTTTTCTCTGCATCTCATCCCATTGCTCTTGCATTTTTTTCTGCATCTCTGTCAGCATGTTCATGATTTTTATTTTGAATTCTTTTTCAGGAGGACTAGTTAGGTCTGTCTCCTTCTCAGGTGTTGTCTCTGTGATCTTTGTCTGCCTGTAGTTTTGCCTTTTCATGGTGATAGAGATAGTTTGCAGAGCTGGTACAAGTGACCGCTGGAAGAGCTTCCCTTCTTGTTGGTTTGTAGCCTTTTCCTGGGAGAATAGCGACCTCTAGTGGCTTGTGCTGGGCAGCTGTGCGCAGACAGGGCTTCTGCTTCCTGCCCAGTTGCTTTGGGGTTTATCTCCACTGTTGCTGTGGGCTTGGCCTGGCTGGGGCTGTTCCTCCAAAATGGTGGAGCCCCGTTGGAGGGGGAGCAGCCAGGAGACTATTTATCTCCGTAAGGGGCCTCTGTGCTCCCTGCTGCCCAGGGGGTTAGAGTGCCCAGAGATCCCCAGATTCCCTGCTTCTGGTCTAAGTGACCTGTCCTGCCCCTTTAAGATTTCCAAAAAGCACTCTCCAAACCAAAACAACAACAGCAACAATGAGAGAGGGAACAGAAAGGAAAAAAAAAAGAAAAAACACGCGATTTTTTTTTTTTTTTCCCCAGGTGCCGGTCCCAGGCACCCGCGCACTGGTCCTGCTGCCCTGTCTCCCTAGCACCAGGGTCCCTGTCCTTTCAAGGCTTCCAAAAAGCACCCACCCACCGGTCCCGCAGGGAAGGAACGCTCAATATTCTTGGTCCTCAGGCACTGGTCCCACGCACCCGCTCACCAGTCCCGCCGCCCTGCCTCCCTAGCACCGGGGTCCCTGTCCCTTCAAGGCTTCCAAAAAGCACTCGGCAAAAAGAGAGAAAAAAAAGGGGAAAAACGCGCGATTTCTTCCGTCCTCAGGTGCTGGTCTCAGGCACCCACCCACCGGTCCCACAGGGAAAAATGCGGGATATTCTTTGTCCTCAGGTGCCGGTCCCAGGCACCCGCTCACCAGTCCCGCCGCCCTGCCTCCCTAGCACCGGGGTCCCTGTCCCTTTTAGGCTTCCAAAAAGCACTCGCAGAAAAGAGAAAAAAAAAAGGGGAAAAACGCGCGATTTCCTCTGTCCTCAAGTGCCGGTCTCAGGCACCCGCCCACCGGTCCCGCAGGGAAAAACGGGGGATATTCTTTGTCCTCAGGCGCCGGTCCCAGCCACCCGCTCACCAGTCCCGCCACCGTGCCTCCCTAGCACTGGGGTCCCCGTCCCTTCAAGGCTTCCAAAAAGCGCTCGCCAAAAAGAGAAAAAAAAAAAAAGGGAAAAACGCGCGACCTCCTCCGTCCTCAGGCACCGGTCTCAGGCACCCGCCCCCAGGTCTCGCAGGGAGAAACGCGGGATATTCTTTGTCCTCCGGCGCCGTTCCCAGGCACCTCCTCACCGGTCCCGCCACCCTGCCTCCCCAGCAACGGGGGCCCGTCCCTCTAAGGCTTCCAAAAAGCGCTCGCCAAAAAAAAAAAATGCTCCGGTTTCTCTCCACCCGCCGGGAGCCGGGGGGAGGGGCGCTCAGGTCCCGCCGGGCCGGGGCTTGTATCTTACGCCCTTCATGGGGTGCTGGGTTCTCGCAGGTGTGGATGTGGTCTGGATGTTGTCCTGTGTTCTCTGGTCTCTATTTTAGGAAGTTGTCTTTGTTATATTTTCATAATTCTATGTGGTTTTGGGAGGAGAGTCCCTCTGCTCTATTCACGTGCCATCTTGGCTCCGCCTCCCCGTATTATCATATTTTTATGCAAAATTTAAAAGTAGAAAATATGTTACATAAAGTGTTATATTTGGCATTTTAAAGTTCATTTGTCCATAAATAATACCATATAGTATGCATATTAAATATGTATTTGTTTTTTAAAAACTAGATAATTCTACCATGTTTTTGCTCTGCAAAACATAAGTAGCTCTGCAAAGTTGAACATAAGTTGAAGCTCTGCAAAGATAAGTAGGTGTTTAGGTCCAATTTATCTGTAATCACTATACTCCTTGGTTATTAAGAATAACGTTAACAATAGAGCTCCTTCTGTTCACAAATATGTTTGTTCAGCCAGCTGAACAAGATGTGCAATTCTATGGGACCTCTAACCTCTCAGTTCTAAGTTCTAGATTAATTCTGCAATATTATGTAAATTGAGTAACTTAATGTCTTTTTCTGACACTTATGTCAAAAGAAATAAACTAAAGTACAACATACTTTACATATAGCAGTTTTGACATTTGTTAAAATTATGTATTATTATATTTTTACCTTTCTTAGGTTTGGCTGGGATGTTCCAGTAATTCTCAGAAACTCGGAAGAGACCCAGTTCAACTCAAGAGTTTTCAAAAAGCAAATGAGACAAGTCAAGAATCCTTTTGGCTTAGAAATCATTAATCCATCCTCAGCTTCAATTGCAAGTCAGTGGCTATTTTTCAAAGATTTTTCTCATTTTCTATGCCCCTTTCTTAGCCCTTTAATTTTCTTTCTCTGTTGCTTTCTCATCATTAGACTTAGCAAACATTTATTGAGCACTTATTTTGTTCCAGAGCTATTCTACATACTACTTATACAAAGACTAGTAATTCAGAAACCTTGCTCCTAAGGAACTTAGCAACCAGGAAACAGACGCATTTGCATGAGAAGAATGAAGTAGCACAGATGTTAATAAGAAAAATGTATTAGGACACAGTGCAGTTTTCATTGGATTTCAGTGCAAGGCGGAAGGAATGAAGGGAGAGAGGAAGGAAGAAGGAAGGAAGGGTGAAAGGGTTAAATTTGCTAAGGTGGGGAGGCATATTCAGGAAAAGCTTCATAAAAGAAGAATGTGCTGAGTATCTTTATTTTTTCTTTTTTTGAGTAGAGTCTTGAAAGATAAGTAGGTGTTTATATTTTAGGATTGGGGAGAAATTCTAGGTTCTCAAAGAAGCATGAACAAAGTACTGAGGAAAAAACAGAATAATGCATTAGAGAAATAGTAAGTAGTTTGTTATGGATAAAATACAAGGTGGATTTTATAGTAAAATACTATATCAAACTAAAAAGCTTCTGTACAGCAAAGGACACCATCATAGACAAAAAGACATCCTACAGAAAAGAAGAGTAGAGGAATACTCAGGTTCTTTGCACAGACCCTTCATAGATCCTATTACAGGAGGAACAGCAGGTTTTGGAAGAAAGGTAATACATTCATTTTGAACTTCTGGACTTTGAAATGCTTTTGTGATAGTTAAATAGGGTTGTAGAGTGGGCAGTTCTAGATAAAGTTTTGAAGCTCTGCAAAGATTTCTGGGCTGAGACCCTATCACCTTTTTCACTTGCTCACCTTTCTAGTATCTTAAAAGCAAACAACCCAAAACTTTCTCAACTTTTCAACTTATTCTAGCTACTTACCTATTTCCCTTCACAGCCAGAGTTCTAAAAAGCCATTTTGCGTTTGCCTTCTCCTCTTAGCCTGCTTTCCTTTTACTCCACAGATCAATGCAGTCTGATTTTTGCCTATATCCCTCTACTGAAATGGCTTTCTCCAAGATCACCAGTTACTACTTCTGCCCCCACCTTCAACCCCTAGCAGTTATAAAATCTAGTGGGTAGTGGGTGCTCTTGGGCCTGTGTTAGTGCTGTTTCTGCAGTGTTTAACAGAGTTAGCCAGTCCTTCTTGGCACCCTGCTCCCTTGGCTTCTGTGGCCATCCTTGTCTAGTTACCTTCCTGCCACTAACTTCCAGAATCATTTCTCAAAAATCAATGTACTTAGTCAATAGGGATTATCAACCTTAAGTAAATCTTAATTTATAATGAAAAAGTACAAAATTTCTTTTTCTTCCTCTGCTGTAAATACTCTGCCATTACCAATGAATTGAAGGGAAATAAGGACCATTTTCCTGCTTTCTGATGGATAAGGAGGTCATTCTGACATTTTTAACTTGGGAAGACCAAATTTTAAGATATGGCAGAGAAAAGTAGCTGTTTAGAAAGCATGCCTGATTCAGATGTGCAGAATAGTGGTGGATCAGTGTTGACCTCTGTGGCCATGCGCTTGGACCTGCTATCATGTCCCATCTGGCTCTTGAGCAGGACAGAGAGTTAAAAAATGTACCAGTACACAATGAACTAGAGCAAATAGTTCTAAAATTCATATGAACTAGAGCAAATAGTTCTAAAATTCATATGGAATGACAAAAGACTCCGAATAGCCAAAGCAATCCTGAGAAGGAAGAATAAAGCAGGGGGAATTATGCTCCCTGACTTCAAGCTCTACTACAAAGCCACAGTAATCAAGACAATTTGGTACTGGCACAAGAACAGACCCATAGACCAGTGGAACAGAATAGAGAACCCAGATATAAACCCATGCATGTATGGTCAATTAATATATAATAAAGGAGCCATGGATATATAATGGGGAAATGACAGCCTCTTCAACAGCTGGTGTTGGCAAAACTGTACAGCTACATGTAAGAGAATGAAACTGGATTATTGTCTAACCCCATATACAAAAGTAAAATCAAAGTGGATCAAAGACCTGAATGTAAGTTATGAAACCATAAAATTCTTAGAAAAAAATATAGGCAAAACTCTCTTGGACATAAACATGAGCAAATTCTTTATGAACATATCTCGCCAGGCAAGGGAACAAAAACAAAAATGAACAAGTGGAACTATATCAAACTAAAAAGCTTCTGTACAACAAAGGACACCATCATAGACAAAAAGACATCCTACAGTATGGGAGAATATATTCATAAATGACATATCCAATAAGGGGTTAACATCCAAATTATATAAAGAGCTCATGCACCTCAACAAACAAATAGCAAATAAGCCAATTAAAAAATGGGCAGATGAGCTGAACAGACACTTCTCCAAAGAAGAAATTCAGGTGGCCAACAGGCACATGAAAAGATGCTCCTCATCGCTAATCATCAGAGAAATGCAAATTAAAACCACAATGAGATATCACCTCACACCAGTTAGGATGGCCAACATCCAAAGACGAACAACAACAAATGTTGGCGAGGATGTGGAGAAAGGGGAACCCTCCTACACTGCTGGTGGGAATGTAAATTAGTTCAACCATTGTGGAGAGCAGTATGGATGTTTCTCAAAAAACTAAAAATAGAAATACTATTTGACCCAGGAATTCCACTCTTAGGAATTTACCTTAAAAATGCAGGAGCCCAGTTTGGAAAAGACATATGCACTCCTATGTTTATTGCAGCACTATTTACAATAGCCAAGAAATGGAAGCAATCCAAGTGTCCATCAGTAGATGAATAGATAAAGAAGAAGTGGCACATATACACAATGGAATATTATTCAGCCATAGAAGAAAACAAATCCTAGCATTTGCAACAACATGGAGGTAGAGGATATTATGCTCAGTGAAATAAGCCAGGCTGAGAAAGACAAGTATCAAATGATTTCACTCATCTGTGGAGTATAAGAACAAAGAAAAAACAGAAGGAACAAAACAGCAGCAGACTCATAGAACCCAAGAATGGACTAACAGTTACCAAAGGGAAAGGGACTGGGGAGAATGGGTGGGAAGGGAGGGATAAAGGGGAATAAGGGACATTAAAATTAGCACACATAATGTAGCGGGGGGTGGGGGGGGGACACAGCAAAGGCAGTATAGCACAGAGAAGACAAGTAGTGACTCTATAGCATCTTACTACACTGGTGAACAATGACTGTAATGGAGTTTTTGGGGTGGACTTGATAATAGGGGGAGTCTAGTAACCATAATGTTGTTCAAGTAATTGTACATTAATGATATCAAAATAAAATAAATTAAATTAAAAAATGTACCAGTCCAAAGCCTTCCTTCCTGCAATGCATTTCCACAAGCCTGGAAATGCTGAGAAAGTAAGAACTGATATATTGTCAGCAGTCACACACAGGACACTTGTGAGCTAGAAAGTGTGAGGAAATCATTCCAGGCTGAAAGAGTCTCAAACAGAACCATCACACCCCCTCCCATAAATGTCAGAAGCAAATGGAAAAATACTCAGTTAGTAGAAGATCTTTCAGCTATGCCCAGCACACTAGATGCTAACCAATAGTAGCTTTACTGAAGTACATGAAAAAAAAAAAGTTAAATGTGTGGACTTATAGCATACTTATTGAAGTATTTTAATTTTTAAAATACCAATGCATATCATTCATTATTTGTCATTTATGGAGAAATAGGAGAAGACTTTGGATGGAAATTGTACTCAGCAGAATAAAATTCATTTGTTTAAACTGAAACAGTGAGTGTCAGTAAAGTTGGCTAGCCAGGACATTGAAATAATATTCTGAGCAGTAATTCTGACATCTTGAAAAGTTATTTCACTTTATATGCAGATAATTTTAAAATTCAGGGCTTTTTTTCCACCACTCTACCCAAGGTACCTGGCACATAATGGTGGGAGGCAGAATATCTGGAGACCTGATTTACTTGAAAATAAGCCAGATAATCAGTTTTAATCTTAGTCATTTAGTCCTGTTTACTAGGAGTGAGTTGTTAGGAATTTTTTTTATACTATGTAAGGATATTGTGTTTGGATTTAAGATGTTCCTATGTCCCCAATGTAGAGGCTTTAATGAAATTTAAAGTAGGTACTCAGGATATATTAGTTGAGTTGAGTTCATTTGGTTCAGGGATTCTGAAGTCCTTTTACAAACAGCTTTCTTGTATTTTGGCTTATTCACCCTGGTAAGAGCTCACATAAAGAAAGAGGATTAGCATCTTCAGAGGGATTGTGAACCCCTATTCCCTATAACCTGAAATCTCTGTCTCCCAATACTCTGGTTTTATTATCCTCATGCATGATCTCTTTGTACATTAATTCTTTTTTTTCAGGAATTCTTGTTCAAGAAGATTGGCTTTTCTGCCCCACAGTTTCTCCTTTTATAATAACTCAGTTTGTTTGACTGTAGTCCTTACTTCAGTTTGTTGCAAGGCTGTCTCTTACACAGATAACAACTAGGCAGGTAAGGGCAGGTTGAGAGAAATGATGCATGCTGCTCCACTTGATTTGGATTCTGAATTTTCTGACTTAAGGCTATGTCCCAACTCTGCTTTTGATCTAAGGTGGCATTGTGTGTGCACTGAATTTTAAAAGAAGGCTAGAAAAATGTAAGAATGGGAACTCTCTTTGAAAAAGTGGGAAAAACTAAAGGGAGAATTGTTTTGCTTAGAGGTGTTTGAACTATAATCAGTTAGTATAAATCAATACTTTCTCTTCTTAGTCTGTGTAATGGATAAGCTTATGAAAGATTGTGAGGAGAACTTTATAGATTCTATAGTTCTTTTTCATTAACATGTAATTAATTTCAGAGACATAGTATGTTCAAGTCTGATTAATATCTAGTTGTCATTTGTCTTGATACTCTCCCCATTTTAGGCAAGTATACAAAGTCTGTAAACAAGTTCTTTCATGCAGTTCTGAATCTCTGGAACTCTGGTTCTTATTACAAAGCAAATAAACTAGGTGGTTTCATATGTTCTGTAATTTAAGGCTTATCCTTCCATTGTTCTTTTTTACTTTAAACAAACATGTACTTATGGCTATTCTCTCCTGTGAGATAAACAGTAGCATACTATATATACTTTTTTCCACCTTGCTTTTTTCATTTAACATTATATTCTGAAGATCATTCCACAGTAGTATATACAGTTATTTTGACATGCCTTAATTCTTTTTTAAGAACTCCATAGTACTTTATTATAGAGTATTCCTATACTATATTAATCCCCTATGATGGTCATTTGGGTGGATTCTAGCATTTTGATAGAACTAGTGCTCCATATATACATCTTTTCACATTTTTCACATTTTGCCAGTAATACAATAATATTAAATCATTTTCTGGATTTCTTTTTCTTTTTCCACTTTTTAAAATATGCTTTTTCTGCTTTTCCCTTTTCTGTCTACTTCCAACCTTTTTTCTTGCCTCAAATCATGTGATTCTGTAGTGGCATTGAGAAAAGTATGTGTGAGTTTTAGTATACATATTTTAAAAATTTGTAAAAATGGAGTGTTCTTCAGTTATTTAATACTAATTGAAAAAAATAGCCAATTGAATTTTCCATTCTTGAATTAATACATGATGATTGAAATAGAATAAAAATTTGAAATCAAATTCTGATCCAATTACCCCCTATGCAAAGTTCCTGACAATTAAAATTTTTGCTTAACTATGATTAGAAATTGCCCTAATTTGCTATATTCCTAAATTGCTATAATACATACTCAGAATCTGAGATCCTGTGTACATACTACTAAATAATGGGAAGAAAAGTGAAAAACTCAATCAGGTTTTGGTATTTTGTGGAGCACCTATTAGTGTTTAGGCATCTTCTCCCAGCACATACTCTTGATCACCTTTTTAAAAAACCTGTCAGGCAGAATTCCCATTTGCAAGCAACAGAAATGATTCCAATAAAAGGATATTGGGTAGCTTACAGAATTTTCTGTAAGGTTTGAAGAGCCAGAGTCAGAGGCTAAGGTTGACTAGCTAGGACCAATGCCTGAAACTGCCCTCTCGGTCCAGCAGTGCACCACGGCCACTGCATCCTGGGTGCTGCGGCTTGCACTGCTGGCAGCAAGAGGTGCTGAATATTGCTGCCCTTGAACTTGATATTACTACAGCTGCCATGAGTGAGGGGAAAAAGTCATGTAGGTAGTAAATAATAAGTCCTATGTAAATGTTCAATAATTAAAACTATATGATTTTTATGTCTGCTTATAATTTATATATCCATTTAATCAGGTTCACTCAAATTATGTTTTATTAGTGCTGAAAGCAAACAAGTGAGTGAAGACACCACTGTTGAGCCCTCCCTGTTCTGGGATCCCCACTCTTTTCCTCAGGATATTTTGTATATTGCCTGGGACCTTAACTGTGTGATGGGTGTAGCGTTGTCAATGTGTATACTAATATTAGTGAAGCCCAATTTCTTTTTAATATTTTTCCTATTCCAGTGATCATCTTGTGGACCCCATAGGTTGTATGTATCCACTTCCCAAACAGCTCTGCTCTGTTTCTTGTAGTTACAAGGTTGTGTATATTCACTTTTGGAGACAGCTCCACTGTTTCTTGGAGTTAGGATTACATACACTATTGGAGTTGTAGGTTATCAGTAGTGAACTGTATTTCAGTTTTTAAAATCTATGTGGGAAAAGTCTTGAAGTCATGCCCCTCCTCCAGAATTGATCATTTCCAAGCATAAATGTATATAGGTGGTAAGAAGGAGTTTACTGAGAGCACTTCAAAATTGTATAGACATTGAGTTTTTTATATCTCTTGTTTTAGAGACCAGTTCTTTCATTTATAGGCTCATACCCTTTAATGAGTTCTTTTATAGGCACATACACTTCAGCCTGGCCAGCATCCAGAAGGAAGCTTTTATTACTCATTAGGTATTATTTTATTGGAAATTACATTAGGTAATTTTCTTCTCTTTGTCTTGTTTTCCTACAGCTGGTATAACTTTGACAACAGATTGTCTTGAAGATAGCCTTCTTACATGCTACTGGGGGTGCAGTGTTCAAAAATTATATGAAGCTCTGCAGAAGCCCTTCCATTGTTTCCGAATAAGCACTCCTCGAGCACTGGAAGATGCTCTGTACAGTGAATATTTCTATCAAGAACAGTATTTGTATCCTTTTATCTGATATATCCATTAGCAGATGAAAATTTTAACATTAGGCTTTTTATGGATAAAATAAAGTGTTGTTAAGTTGTTATTGGTCACCCTTGGTATATTACTCTGTTTTTGATTATAGTGACAATTTACCTTTACATCTTTACGAAGTATTAAAAAAGAGAGCAAAGAAGAAATATATTGCCAGTTACCAAGAGATATTAAAACTGAAGACTTTGGTACAGTGCCCAGATCCCGCTATCCGTTGGTAGTGCTGTTGACTCTAGCTGATGAGGATGACCGAGAAATTTATGATATTGTAAGTAATTTAAAAATTCTGGAAGCATTACTTTGAAGTGATTTGGATGGTGGCTACTAATTATGTGGTGAAATAGAAAAAGTTTTATTTTTATTTTTGAGGATATATATTTGGCCTGGACACACTTTTCTTGAAAAATGAATACATGAGAAATATACCTCTATGATTTTTATATGTGCAATGGCTCCTGCAAAGTAGGACTTGTTTTTTTCCCATATGGGTTGTAAGAAATGATTTTATTTAGAAAATAAAAGATATATTATAGTTGAAATAAGTTAGTTTCATCATTCTGTGTTCTGTGTTTGGTATGCAGAAAAAGTCTGTTGGAAAGCATGTTTATTCTTAACATTTTTGGCCCTGAACAAATTGTAATGATGTAAAGTGCTCAATTTTAAGACAGTATGAACTCTTTGCTTTGCATGCTTACAGTTATCTTATTTCCATCATAGCCCCAGAGGCACCTACATCTTGTATGTGTTTGGTCCCTGTATTTTCAGCAATTATAGTAATCTCCTTTTCTCATTATATGCTAATAATTTCTTTAGTCTGGTAGCTTATCCCTATTAGGTAGATAAAAGCATTTTAGAGATCTAAGAGGACCTGAGCCATTATTCCTCTATGGTAGAAGCTTATACATGAGGTAGACACTTGGTGAAATCATACCATGGTAAGAATGCCCTTATACACAATTAACTACTTTTCTGAAGTGCATGATATAGATATGTGTGTTAATAAAGATATGATAACAACTTTGTAATATGCAAAGTACATTGACTAACATTAACTGATTTATTCCTTCGAACAACCTAGTATGTTAGGGCAAATATCCTTCTTAAAGACTGAAAAAGAGTCTGAGGAAAAATTCCAATTATTCAGGAAGTAAGAGATGGAACCAGGGCTTGATTCTGAGCCTTTGTTATCCTGCACCAGTACCCTTTTTTTCCAACAGGAATCTCCTCAAAACAGGTGTGCATTGAGCTTTGGAAGGTGACAGACCCATACTGGGATATCTAGACCCTGCTTATCTACAGTTATGCCTCTCTAGTTTTTTGGGATTTTAACCTTATCAAATTGAAATTCCATGAGCTAAAGTCAGTTTGTTTTTTCCAAATAAAAGTCATGCTTACAGGAGTGTATTTCCAGAACGTAACATTTGCCTGGAAGACAATAGGTGCTCAGTAACTTTGATAAGTGAAAAAAAAAGTTGCACCAAGCAATGTCAGTGAGCCTCAGAGAGCCTGACAGCACAGGTCCATAGCTGCATGCGCAGGGGCGGTGTTCACGGGGAGCTGGGTTCCCCCTCTGTCCCTCCGTCCCTCCCACCCACTTCAGCTGCAGAGATGTAAGACCCGTTAAGCCGGTGTGCCACAGTTCTGGCCTGTGCGTTCTTCTAAGAGAAGGCAGGGTGACCCTTCTCTTAGTAGCACTGTGTCCACCATGTCTTGTAAGCTTCCCTGCCTCCCTCCTGTCATTCAGAACAAAAGGGTTGGTTCTGCCCCCTTCCCACCCGACTCCCTGTGGCTCCTTTCCCCTCACTGATGGGGCCCTCTGTCTACTTGAGGCACTCAAGGTCTTCTTTGTTTTCTGACTTTCTTCCTTATTCTGAACAGAGGAGGACTGTGTGTGTGTGTGTGTGTGTGTGTGTGTGGTAAAATATATGTAACATAAAATTGACCATTTTAACCACTTTTCAGTGTACACTTCAATGGCATTGTAAACAGAAAGATTTGTTATCAGGTCCTCTATGCAACTGGAGTGGAGACGGTGGGGCCCATCTGCAGTAAGGGGAGGCTTCTTCCTACAGAGCAGCCGGGGTGCCTGGCCCCCAAAGCCTACCAACCTTTCTCTTTTCCTGCATATGGTAGGGTCGCCCTGCCTGGCCTCTTCTCTGTCTTTTGTCCTTAGAAGGTTCCGTCCTTTTTCCTATTAATCTTGCTTCTCCATCTCTTATCTCTCAAATTGTGCCTAATACTGGAACTAATGCATATTTGTGTGTGTGTGTGTGTGAATGGTAAATATTTTGTATTAATGATCTCTGTTCCTAATTTTAAAAGCAAACCGAGCATTTTGTTTTTTAGTATTTTACCTGGGGATCAGAAACCCTAAGTCTAAAAAGAAAGAAAGAAAGAAACTCTTTCCTATTGTAATAATAAAAAATGACACATAGTTTTGCTAGAAACTAATGTGTTATTTTAGGTAGATAAAGGAAAGCAAGATTGTTATTGCAAGATTTTGACTTGGAAGTTTTTTTCATTTTCACTTAGTTTGTTTTCTGTATTACTAAAATAATACATGATTATGGCAGGAAATAGAATTAGAACAGAATCTAGGTAAGCCCAAAGGGAAAAAGTATAATCACCTGTATTCTATCATCCAAAGATATGTATTGTGAATATTTGTCTGTGTCTTTCTAGACTTTTATACAAGTCATTTTTAAACAAAATGGGATCAAATTATACATACTATTTTATGACCTGCTTACATTTTATATTTTGAACATCTTTTCCATATCAAATACATATTTACATCTACATATATATTTACAACTAGCATGATAGTAATTTCAGATAATTTTGTATATAATTTTGAACACTTGCAAAAATAAAAAAGTAAAAAATATACCCATATGCCCTTTGCCCAGATCCCCTATTGTTAATTGTTAACGTCTGTACTGTTTGCGTTATGCGTCCATGCATATGTATGCGTGCATGTAAGTGATTTGAGAATAAGCTGAATACATGATCAGTGCCGCTAAATACTTTAGCACGTATTTCCTAATAATAGAGGTGTTCTCTTGATCACCACAATAGTTATTAACTTTATAAATGTATCATTGATATAATATTTTATCCACCCTATTACCTGTATTCCAATTTGTCATTTGACCTAACAGTATTCTCTACAAGTGTCCCCTCCAATACAAATTCTAGTCTAGAGTCAGATACTGTGTTTGTCATCTATCTTTAGCCTCCTTCAATCTAGAGCATTGCTATGGCCTTGGTTTTTTAGGACATTAGTACGACATTTAAAGAGTATGGCAACATATGCACCCCCTTTTTGTAAGATTGAGCAGTCCTCATTCTGTCCACCTGCTGTTCTGTCATGGTCAGCTTGCAGGTCGGTGTCTTCCGTCAGTGGGCTGCGAAGGTCCTGCTGCGTGCTCTCCTGGCCCCCCATCAGAGGTTCTCCTCCCTTCCTGGGGAGGCTCTTTTTCTCATCTGTGGGGAGGCACTTTAAGACCATGCCAATATCCTGCTCTCTATCAGAATTTCCCCTTGGATTTAATACCCACCGATGATTCTAACCAGATTTTATCTTTACCATGATGGCTGTAAAATTATTATTTTCCAACTCCAGCCCCTAGCCAGCCCCCCATCCTGATTCTACTATAGGGAAGAGACATCCCATTTATTTAATATGCTAGCCTTAAGGCTTCATGAATTCCTTTTTCCTCTAGTGGTTTATAATTCATTACAGGATTTAATTACAGGACCCTGGAACAATGTGGAGTTTAGGGGAACCAACCCCTATGCTGTCAAAAATCCATGTATAACTTTGACTCCCCCAAAACTTAACTGTTAAGAGCCTATACTGTTGACCCGAAGCTTTACCGGTAACATAAAGTTGATTAACACATATTTTATATGTATTATATACTGTAGTCTTAGAATAAAATAAGCTAGAGGAAATGAATTTTTTTCAAATTGTCACAAATCTCTGAAAATTTTCCAATATATTAATTGAAAAACATCCACATTTAAGTGAACCTGTGCAGTTCAAACCCGGGTTATTGAAGGGTCAACTGTATTTTGGTGCTCAAACTGCTGTCTCCCTACTTCCTGCCCAAGACTGAGGGTCTATGGTCAAACTGTGTGCTCATAAATTACTTGGATTAGTTCTCCCCAAAGTCAAAAAACTGTATAAAAAGGGGTACTCAGATGTTGCCCTCATCATTGCCCCGCATTCTCACATGCCCTAGTTCTATAGATAAACAAGTTCACAGTTTTCTGATTTATCTTTCCTGTGTTTCTTTTTGTAATAAGATGATACAGATACATATATTTCTTATTTTCCATTCTTTCTTATACAAAAGAACACACTGTATGTGTTCTTGCTTTTTTCACCTCATAACATCATCTGGAAATGACTCCAGATCAGTTCTAGAGATCTTCCTCAGATTTTTCTTCTTTTCCACAGCTGCATAGCACTCCATCATATATAGGGTGTACAGGAACCATAGTTGTGTAGCCAGTCTTCTGTGGTAGGATGGTCAGGTAGTCTCTAGTATTCTGTAATAACAAATAATCTTGCACTGAATAATCTTTGTACCATGATTTGAGATGACCACCTTTATCATGTTTGAGTTTGGTCTATTTCTGGGCTATTTATTCTGCTCCAGCCATTTGTCTATTCATTGTCAGTACCACAGTGTTTTAATATTAGAGGCTTTGTAGTATGTTTTAATATCTGTCTGGGCTTAGTTCCCCCTCATAGCTTTCTTTTCAGTGTTTTCCTAGCTATTTTTATGTGTTATTTTACCATATGAAAGTTCTAGAGTCAACTTACAGCTCTATAAAAAAGCTCACTGGTATTTTTGTTGGGATCACATTAAATTTGCAAATTTGAGTATAATTAAAATAACTCTGGCAAAAATGTCACTAAATGGTTCATCTTTGGTGATTGTGGTTTAAATAAATTATTGTAAGTTTTCTAATTTATCAGCCTTTTATTATTTGAGAAACATTTTTCACTCATCTGTGATAATATAAAGAGGTTAAGTACTGACCGGTGTTCAATTTTTATTTTAGATTTCCATGGTGTCAGTAATTCATATTCCTGACAAGACTTATAAACTTTCCTGTAGAATATTATATCAGTATTTGCTCCTGGCTCAAGGGCAATTTCATGATCTTAAGGTAAGTTGTATCCTGTAGTCTTATCTCTGTCTCTTTTGTTTGCAGTTTCAAAGAATAACCATCTTTAAAGAGATATTTTGTGTAAATATAATATAGTTAATGATATTTCAGCAGCTCTTATGACCCCCCGATTTAAAGAGTAATTGTCATGTTATTATCTTTAAACTTGTTTCTTTGATTTTCAGCAGCTTTTCATGTCTGCAAATAATAACTCCACTCCCTCCAGCACTTCCTGTGCAGAAGAAAAAAGCACAGACCAAAGTTTATTAGAAAAGGCTGGACTTTCTGAGGGTGAAGTGGAGCCTCCTGAGGAGAACAGCAAGGACTGTGTCGTTTGCCAGAATGGCACTGTGAACTGGGTGCTCTTACCATGTAGGCACACCTGCTTGTGTGACGGCTGCATTAAGTATTTTCAGCAGTGCCCAATGTGCAGGCAGTTTGTTCAGGAATCTTTTTCACTTTGCAGTCAAAAGGAGCAAGATAAAGACAAGCTGAAAACTCATTGAGAGTGTTGTTACAGCTGAAAAACACACTTTCCACTGAAGATGCAAAAATTTGTGTTCTTGGAATTAATCCTAATGTGGAATCTACAGTGTTGACCATCAATGGAAAGATTCTATTTCAACTTCATATTTGTAGGGTACATGGATGATGAAAATTAACCATTCCTTCCTGCTTGATATAGTGAATACTGAAATACCATCTGTGTTAATACATAAAAATTTATTCAATTCTTGAGAAGGATATAAATGTTTGGCCTTTTGTCAGCTAGAGGATTTCAGAGAATGTTGATTAGGAAAATCCTGAAAAGCAATCTCCTTAAAATTTGAGGAGATAAAAGTCTTAAGATTTCTAAATGTTTTTCCTTTGGCATAATCTGGAATGCAATTGGAAAAAAATGGAATTCTTCTTAAAGTAATTGTAGGATTCCCAGTTTACAAAGGAATTGGAAAGGGCTTCTAACTTTAAATCCTTTCCTGAAATATGAGTTTTGATAAATATCCATCTATTTGGTTTCTGATTTTCCTTATAATCATAGTCACATAAACACAAGTAATTTTTAAATGTAGCTTCCAAAATTTTAAATGCAAGATACAACTCTTGACCGTTGTCAGTATATCGTAGATTAAAATGATACACATCCATAGGCAGCAGATATGTAAACCTTGGATAATAACATTTCTTGGATAATTAAATTTATTGCCAAATATAATTAGATTAGATTAAATATGATCTATCAGAGGAGATCTGTGAGACTCTTAATGTCTGACCTTAGATTTCCTCATGCACAGTGAATCCATCCAACACTGGAGAGGTTTTGGAGCCAGAAAAACCACTAAATGAAATAACTATTTTTTTCTAGTGTGTTTTTATTCCAAATAAACTCCTCACCCTTCTGAATAGTAAATTACTTTGTTCATCCCTTGTTATATCCTCTTAAGAATTGAGGAACCTGCTGGACAAAAAGCCCCATATGCTACTCTTTCCAAAATGACTAAGAACATAAAGGTAAATGAGAAGAAACTAACCTTCAGCTCACTAAGAACTTAGGTCATGGCAAATCAACTGACATTCAGGGAGATTTTCAAGCCTTTTTGTCCTGTTTGTATTAAGAATAATGCCTTTTCTTTCTGCCATTGTTTTTACGTATCATTTCATTCCAGTCAAATGTAACACTCTCAGAAAGACATACCTATTCCCCATTTTATAAACTAAATCTAACTTTTATCTGTGTTCAATAGCTATATAATAAATACCTTCTAGGGGGTCAGATACCTTTCAGGGGTCTGGCTTACAGAGAATCAGGCAAGGCTCCTGAACTCAGAATATTTGTACTTAAAAGGAGCATTGATGGCTTATTAGAAGCACATCTTCCCTCAGACAATTCTAAGATTCTGTTCCAACCCTGCCACTGAAAAACAGTCAAAGGCTATAGTCCCTGTTGCAGTTAGCTAACAATGTGGTAGTTCATGTGGGAAACCCAGTTTGGTGTAAATTGGGGGAATACTTGTATCACTTCATCCATCCTAGTCATCCTGTTTCCCTTTACAAATCTGTTTATACCTAAACTGTCCAAGACATGTAGTTGGTTTCACATCTGAGATAGATTTCACCTGCAGTCTTATTTCATTTCTCATAACTTTCTAAAAAAAATACATAATGTAACATTTACTATTTTAACTATTCTTAAATGTCCAATTCAGTAGCATTAAGTACGTCTGCACTGTGTGCAGTTGTCACCAGTATCCATTTTCAGAATTTTTTCATTGTCCCAAACTGAAATTTTATACCCATTAGACAATGATCCCTATCCCCCCTCCCTTTAGCCTTTGGTAACCACCATTCTACTTTTTATGAATTTTTGTACTCTATGAGGTCGTGTAGGTACCTCATAAAAGTGGAATCATACAATATTTGTCCTTTTGTGACTGGCTTATTTCACTTAGCATGTCTCCAAGGTTCATCTTCATTTTAGCAGGTACCAGACTTTCCTTCCTTTTTAAGGCTGAATAATATTCCCTTGTATGTATATATCACCTTGTCATCCATTCACCCATCATTTTTCAAAGCTCTTAAAGATAATTTGCACTTAGCTCCTCTTGCTGAAGCTAAAGTAATTGTTTTTCCTGCCTTCAGTGGTAATGAATATGAGGGATTTGGTAATAATCAAGTAAAAACAGGTACCCGGACTCCTAGAGGTTTATGTTAAAATTTACCAATAACAGTGAATAAGTGACATTCTGTAAGAACATTTATAAAAACTTTTTATTTGACTGGATCATTAGATAAAATACTTAGTTTATATAGATTAGTTGCTGCTTTTCAAAAATCCCATTCAGTTTCTTTAAGCAGATTTGATTGGTGACTAGCTACCTCCTCCTTCAGTGATCCTTTCTTCCCAACTTGGTGCCTGTGAGTGTTCTTCATGTCTAAGCCAGCTCTATGGGAGGAACTTAAAAACTGTTATCTAAGGACTCAACATGAGTCACTGATTTTTCTCCCAAGCCTTCCCATTCATTGTAGAATGAAGAGCTTTGTTTTGGCTTGTGGGAATTTGAAGCATCAACATAGATAACCTAGGGTTTAGGAAGGGCAGGAGGGGATGATTTCAGTCTCCTGTACTCAGTCCTGCCTCAGACCAGGCCTATCCCTCTGGATAATTCCCTAACTTCATTTCTCATATTTGAACACTGAATCCCCCTGTCTGTCTCTTCCTGTCTCCCTGTATGATATTCCTCCTCAGTCTTTTCATCCTCTCATCATGACTTCTAATTCCTGGGTCCCTGAGTCTATTCTATTAATTCATTAACTTACTCCTGGGTTCCTTGATCAACTAGTACAAATGTGTATTCATCTTAGCTTGCTTTCTTGACCTATCAGCCTGCCCCACCAACTCACCAACTTGGCTGAACTGTTTCTAACTGCTTTACCACAGCCTAGACAGTTAATGGAGTCTACCACAAAGCCATGTTGTTTAGTTACATGCAGGCCTTCACTGCTGCACGACAATCCTATAATTTTTTTCCTTATGAGCCCTCTACCGAATAGCTATTCCAAACCTCTTCCACTCCTCAGGTCCTGTACCTCACCATTCCTGTATATATCACTTTCAGCAAAGGACCTTCAAGAGGTAGTGTAGTGTGGGGTTTAAGATGAAGTCAGGTTATCTTGGGTTTTATCCCAGCTCTGTCATTTGCCCCTTGCACAAGTTTCTTAACCTAACTTGCTTCAATTTCCTTTTATAAAAATAGTAATAACAGAACCTACCTGCAGACTGTTGAGAGGATTATAAGAGTCAATAAGTACAAAGTGCTTAGACCAGGGGCATAGCTCATATAAGCCCCGTGTGTCACACACATTGTGTTACTGCTTTGTTTACATGTTCAAAGCCAATAGATATTATTTTCTCTTTTCCCAAAAAGAGATGGTGTAATCTACTTTTGAGGCCAGCACTCTACTTTGTTCTTGATCTCATCTCTGCTCCCTGAACTCATTTGATCATTTGAATGCCAAAGATACTACACATTTTTGGGGCATGAGGATTCAACAGTGAAAAAAAAATAGGCAAAACTTGCCTTCATGGAGCTTACATGCTAGTAAGAAACAGACAGTAAAAGATACAGTATATCAGGTGGAAGTAAGTGCTATGGGGAAGTCAAAGCTGGGATGGGTGAGCAGGGAGTGTGAAGGATTGGAAGGGGCATTACTACTTCGAATACAATGGTCAAGGAAGGCCTGAGCAGAAATTTTAGCAGACCTGAAGGAGGCCAGAAAGCGAGCCATGTGAATATCTAGGCAGAGGCCTTAATGACTACATATATAAATATATATATATGATATCTTTATCCACTCATTTGTCAATGAACATCTAGCTTGTATCTATGTCTTGGCTATTTTAAATCATTACGTGGTGAATGTTAATGATGTAGATATCGCTTTAAGATAATGATTTCCTTTCCTTGGATGCACACACAGGACTATTATTATTCAGCCCTGAGAAAGAAGGAAATCCTGCCTTTTGCTACCACATGGATAGATCTTGAGGGCATTATGTTAAGTGAGATTAATTCAGAGAAACACAAATACCACGTGTTATCACTTATATTTGTGGAATCTTAAAAACAAAAGTAACTCATAGAAACAGAGTACAAAATGGTTGCCAGGTGCTGGCAGGGGAAGGAAGAGTTAGGGAGATGTTGGTAAAAGGGTACAAACTTTCAGACAAAAGATGAATAAGGTCCATGGATCTAGTATAAATCATGGTAACTATAGTTGATACAGTGGATTTAATCATTGAAATTTGCTGAGAGTGGAAATGTTTGCACACACACACATGTATATATATATACATGAGGTGATGCATGTGTTAATTAACTACATGGTGTAAATCCTTTAAAAAAATAAGAGTATGATTGGAGAGGAATAGGCAGCACATAGAAACAATTCATGTGGATTTTTCTATAAAAAAGAGCAGGGAAATGCTGTGTTAACTAGTGTGGGGTATAGGTTTGCTAGTGTTTAATTTTAAGAAGGAAGAAAATAGCAGCATGTTTGAATGCCCTTGAGAATGATACGATAGAGAGGGAAAAATTGACAATGCTTGGATAGTAGTAACAGTTGCTAGAGTGATGTCCCTGAGGAAACAAAAGAACCCTGGCACACCTCTCTCCTGCGTCTTAAATCTACAGTACTTCCTTCAGCTTCAAATTATGGTAGATATTATCAGTACTAAAGAAAGCCTCTCCTTCGACCTTGTTTCCCATTCAATCTTTATGACTCCTATTTAGTTTCCATCCTTTTTCTATTTCCCTTAGTTCTAAACATCTTGAAAAATTGATTCTCCAGTGCTGGTACTGATCATAATCACAAATTCTAGTTACAATTACAGTCATATCAAGTCAGAAGTTCCCAGGTAATCCTAACACACTAAGTCTGGAAGCCTCTGAACTCTACACTCTAGTCATTTGTTTTTGTGTCTCTCACTCCCTGTTAGTTCTGCCTCTTACATTCCTATTATTCAACTTGAACTATATTTCCCAGTGATACCCAGTGAACTCCTAGTCACCTCACCCAGTGGCTTTTTCTCATTCTTCATGCTTCATGGTCTCTTTGAAGGATTCTACACATAACCATTGTCTCCACCTAGAAACTCACTTCCCTTGGCTTCTGTGTAACCATGTCTCAATGCGTTTCAGGGATGCTTAAGAATTGCTTTGAGGGGGAGAGGTAAAAATGCCAATACGCGGGTCCATCCCCTTAAAATTCTGATTCAGTGGGTCTGGAATCTGGCCCAGGAATCTTTGTCCTCTCAAGCTCTTTCATGATTTTGAGGTAGGTGGCCCATCACATCTTTTCTTATCTTTCTGATAGCCTCATGCATCAGTTAGTGTACTAATGTCTGCTAAGCACTATTCCCACAGTATGCCTGGCAGCAAGTGAGGTAGACACCTGGGAGTCAAGAGTGCACCTGCTTTTTTCAAAAAGCTTAGTGTGCATGCTCTCTCTTATGTATTGCATTCAACACTTACTTCTTACTTCTAGGCTGTTTCTTCTCAAATCTTTTTCATTATATCCTTTTGCTGAGTTTCACACTTTCATTTCTAAATGACTAATAGTGATTGCCAACCCATAGACACCTGCAACATGTTCAAGGCAGAACACATCTTCCTGCAAAAGTCTGCTCTTTTCCATTTTCCCTTCCTGGTTAGTGACAGTGCTGTGTTCCCAACAATCCCAAGCCCCACAGTTACATTCACTCCTCCTGGCCTCTTGCCCTCTTCCCACATCAGGTCAGCCAGCAAATCTTGATTCTACTCTTGTATTGCTAATTTCTGTGTCTCTCTCTTTCCTGACCTACTAAACTTGCCTTACTCCTTGATCCTAGTCTCTACTATACCTTTCCCAACC